TTATTTGACCTGTACCTTTCTATACAACCATCACAACCAGCTTCACAGTTGTTTAAACTTGCCAGGCATCATTTTCATGCTCTGCTGACTCAACTCATGCCTTAATCATTCTAGGTTCATCATCATGGCTCTCATCATCGCTATTGCAACCCAGCTTGTGTGAACTACTGACACTAATATGCAATTCTGATCACTTTTTTTATTTTTTGACTGTCCACCCACTTGCACTGTCAAGCTATGAGCGCGACTATAATGTTAACCTAGCTTTAGTCATGTCCTTCTTCAACTTGGACATTCTTTGGTATATCACATACCATGATTATTCATTTTATTCACGAGATATCAATTCTTTTTCAATCTTTTCATCATTTCGGCTCCTTTTTTGGAAGGTCACTTGGTAACGATACATATTAAAGCTTCCTAAAGCATTCACTGATGTGTACAAACACAGTGCAGATGTAATCTCACACTAGCATATAGGAATATAAATTACAAGAATTTTTCATAATTATCTTGATGAAATTCAGATATTCAATTCAGGTGCTACAGCCATGTTTTGTTTTTTTTTTTCTTGGCAAGCAGACCACAAGTTAATTTTTTGTTGCGTGTTAGAAAGTCGGACCCCAAACATGCATGCCGAACAGTGCGAAGATGAGTCTTCCTTACTTTTCCTGATAATGAATTGTCAAATAAGATTCCTTTGCTGATATGTAGGCAAACAAATCGAGGCCGATATTGATTCATATTGAAATTTCCATTTCTCTTACTCCATGCCATGGATGCAGAGTGCTTATATATGCATACATACATATACAATTATGTCGTGTGGTGTAAATTAACCTTATTAATTGTAATATACATACAGAGAAAAGACGAAGCAGCAGTTTGACCAATATAAGGGCAGGAGTGAAGAGAGTAAGAGACATTAGTTAAAGAGGAAGCAAGTGTGGACATAAGAACAAGGTGCTTCTCGTGATGGATGGTTTTGACTAAGTGTTAAGGCTTCACATACCTCAATAGTTTTTAACCCATGGGCATACTATTTGTTAAAGGTGCAGCATGCAAAGCAAACAGCTAACAGCTGTCACCCTGACAAGGGAGAAAAATTTGCTGCGAGTTGCCCTGGAAAAGTAAACGTGATTGATTTTGCTGTAAATTCTACTGAAGTTCACATTTTCTTAACAATGACCAATTATAGAATCTCGCATGTTGAGTTCTCAACAAACCTAAAAGAAACAGAATAGAAAAAACATTTCTTTTCAACAAGTTTATTCAGAAAAGCACATGTGTGATTGATATCTTAAGCAATTTCGACGTACGATACCCATAAGTTTACTATACTTAAGGAACAGCTAATCCCCACAGCCATAATAAACCACATCCAAGAAAGTAAAACAAAGTAAAAACTATACAGATGCAGAGCACTTTGCATATATGTGTGAAACACAAAAGGTAATTACTTTAGAGCAGTGACTTCAGCTGTACACTGCTTGTCAATTAATTATGGGAAACAATGAAAACATAAGAGGCTTCATGTTGACATAATATTAAACAGCCATATGTAACACAAAAGTGACATACTTGTGATACTTTTTTGAAGTACTACATAAATACCAAAACAAATAAATTTCTAAGCACATTTTGAACTAAGCTTCTTAGCTGTGTAATACACAATGATATTCGAATCGATCACCTCGATGCTCGATTCAAATAGGTCACAAAGCTTCAGACGAAAAGCACTTCAGAACCTCATGCCAGTGATATCAACAAGGGGAGTATGGATGCTGCGATTGAAGCACAACTGTGTGAGGAGAGAACAAACACTAGTAACGAAAAACAAAGTTTTGTTAAAGGGTGAAGCAATCTTCAAATTTTACAATGTGGGAATCGAGAGCAACCGCCACCCTGGCGCCTGTTTACCCAGCTAGCACGTGTGGCAGAACCACGGGGCCCCGAGTGCAGTGGCCCGCCGTTGTTTGGCAGTATGGCTGCCGTGGCTATGCCGCCAGGCCTTTTGTCTGGTGAAAGCTGCACGCCAGCTTGTCAGAGTGGAACCACGTGTTCGGACATGTCCAAGCGAAGCGCTCGCTTACCCTCAGGCGGGTCACATGGGCACGCTAGCACACGTCACTGCGCTTTGCCTGTCCCTGCTGGCTGCCTGTGACATCCCCTCTCCCCAGAGCTTGCTTCTACCTGACGCTGGCTTGCTGTGAGATGCTCTCAGGCTGGCACGAGAGGTTTATGCCCACAACAAACATGTATTTGCCAATCAATTTTATTTAGGTGCAATCTGCAAAGATTGTACGGCCTCTGAATTATGGTGGTGCAATTTTAATTTTTGCTGTCCACGGTGTTTCGAGCTACATTTCATTGTGGGCGAATGCGTGGAGTGCTGTGTCCGACCAGCAAATTATCCTGCGGGAGGATACGGCCCACGTTTAATGCCATACTCATCCCTCGGTACCTGTGGAAATGATGTGCTGAGCAAGGACGTCCGAGGACTTATGTCTAGATAACACCCCGGGACAACTGCAGTTCAGAGTAGTGTACTCACTGCACGCATCTTTACAAATCAGCAATCCTGGGACCTGGTTTCCATCGTCACGACACGGCATGCCTACCATATTTCATGTTATCAGTAAGCACATGGCCAAGCCATCTTTCACAATGCTCATAAACGATTACAGGTAAAGTTCATTAATCATAGATTAAAGCAAAACATAGTCTACATAGTGTCCATAAAATTTTGGTACTTATCGCCACATTTGGTGCTCATTTTGTACAGTGCAATAATATTTTACCATGACCATTAATTAAATTGCAATGGCATAATTTTAGCATGACTAGACGGTAATTCTTGGGAACGAAGCCCACGAACAACACAATCAATGTACACTTGACGAGAACTGCGTATAGGTAAGGCAAACAATGCTGCAAATATGAAAAATAAGCTGCTTCTTGCTTTGCGGTACGCATCACAGATTTTTCCGCTAAACTCTTGCCAGGTGGTAAAGGAGCCCTCGTGGTTCTCATACTTCGATTTTTACACTGATATGCCATGTCATGCAGCCTCTACGTGGCCTCAGCAAGGAACTTTTCATTCACTCTGCAAATAAACAAATCCCCATCGGAAGCCAGTGCAAGACATTTTTCCACTCAAACAAGTGACACACGCTTGATTTCAGCAGTAGATTCAACTTTAACAAAATGGTAGGGTTCATCCTTGCAGAACACCTCAAGCATGTTGTGCTTCACAATGTACACCTGAACAGAGAGCACTGTCTCCTTTAGGCATGCACACTGTTCATGCCCCTGTGAGCAGTACACACTAATATCCCGAAGGCGGCCAAACAACCCATTGATAATGACGAATGAATTTACCCTTCGCGATCTGTCCAGATCCGCAGTGCAATATGCAACGTTTCCGATGCTCATCTTTCGAAAATGAGTGCCATCCGCACTTCGCACTGCTTTACCATAGAATGTAGTGGTCCCATTCTGCACAGATCGTTTTCTTAATTCGTAGCCCTTCATTTGGGCCTTGAACAAGTTCTGAGTGTGTGCATTTTCTCTTGCAACATTACTCCAAAGCGTAGGCAAGGCTTGCATGAGGAAGAACTTGTCAATAATCTGTTTTTCGGGGTACCTGGTCCCTTTGACCATTTTCACAAGCTTTCCATTCATAGATTCAAATCCGAACATTGAATGTGCCCACAGTGGACCCCAATGCTTCACTGTGTCAACAAGGTGAAGCAGCAGATGCGCATTGTATGTCATGTTTGTTATGCCATATAGCTCCTGGTACTCTTTGACAAACTTTACCATTTCATTTTTTATAATGTTGAGCCTGTCAAGGGCTACGCAATCGCTCAACAAGTAGTACATTATGTCAACGAATGAGACCCAGTGGCGGTAATTCTTTTCTGGAACATAGCCAGCCAACACAATTGGCGAATAAAACAACAACCAATTCCGCCAGTCAGCACATTTCCAGTGTTTCAGGTCATTCAGTGATCTTGGAAGCCTTGATATTTCCCAGATTGGTTGCAGGCTGAGCAGCTTCTCGTTCAATTCACTCAAGTGAAGGCGAAGCTTAAAACTACGACACCTCTTAGAGTTTAGCCACAGCAATGTCGTAGCTTTTACAAAACCTGCACACACAGCATGCATGTAGTCAACCACAAAGCCAGTAGGAAAGTCAAAGTGGTTCAGCAGCTTGAGGACACTTGTAGCCTTTATGCCACGGCTCACTTGCTCTTGCTTTCTTCTGGCTTTTTGGGCATGATGCTGAAATGACTCATTAGTACGGAGCTTTATAGAAGAAGTGGAGACTGGGTAGACACGGCAATGCCCATTACCCTTTGCAATGACATCTCCAGGATGCTCGCACCATGCGCAACCGTACTTCCCATTAAACTGAGTCATGCCCATAACTTCACATCTTGCGACACTGTCCACCGTGCATGGGCCAGGGAAAACCTTCATATTTTTTTTCTGCCCATGTGAATCTTCCCCTGTCATGCCGGTAGAAGAAAGCACATTCAGCGACTTCACAAAAGGCAGGAGGAACGTATTCATTACAGGCTTTTTGGGCCCAAACCACAGGCCAGCAAGGACGAGCCTCTGGACCCTGTCTTTATACGTCAGCTCATTAATTTGAGCAAAGAGAGGCCAGAATCCAAACTTGCTGCTTTCAAAAAGTGGAACACCATCGGTGTTAAATGTCAGCGAAACATCATTAGGACCCATGGGAATACTTCTGTAGCCAATGCCTGTCGTGATGTCTGTGACATCGAAAGAGGGGGACGACTGAGCAGGCACAACCTCAGCTGTTTTCAAAATATCACAGATTTGTGATTCTATGTTAAATGAAAAAAAATATGATGAACTTTTTAGCAGTACACTGATGTCATGATGCACATTGCAGTGCTCACAAAAAACGGTAGATGCCATTTCAGCAGTCCCAATGTAGTTGCAACAATTGCTACAGTATAAATCTCTGTTCTTTGCACTCTCAGGAGAGCTGAAATGTCTAAAAAATTTGTACTTTGAACAAGGCAGCTCTGTTTTTTTCCGGCAGATGAGCGCGCAATAACTGAAGCAAGCTCTCGGTGGCTTCTTTCGACGCGTCATGGCGGAGGCTGTGGCCCATAATCAGCAAAATGCTCTCTGCCCTGGTGATCTTCGAACCTGGATACAGCTCCTCGTCCTGTTAGATGCAAAGAAACAAAAATGTTTATACCACAGGCATGCACACAAAAACTACACGCTTATATGGTAGTCCATAACAAGCATGCATGTCCCGTCAGCTTAATTACAGCTATGACAATGGATGACTATTTTTGTTACCAATAAAGAAATGCCTGTCTCCGTGTCTATACACATTGATACATTAAAGCTTTCACCAGTCAAACACCACCTTTGCACATATACCAAAGGGACAGCAATGCCACGTGAAAAAGCATATTTTTCACTAGGTGGTGCTGTGAATTTATAGATTATAAAAGGAGTGCAGGCACGGATGTAGGGCGAATGGGTAGTGGGTGAATTGCAAAATGGGTTCCAGGAACAAAGAAGGTTAGGAGATAATCTGTTCTCATTAACGCAGTGCATTGAAACAGCAAAAAAATGAGCACAGGCCTTTATTGCTGGAATCCATGTAAATCAAGGGACGTTACGACAGTGTAATTCAAGAGGATCTGTGGGGCACACTAGATGCACTGGAAGTCGAATACTGAGTAGCTAACCTCTTAAAAAATACATATGAAGGTAATAGGGTGCTAAAGGGTTATTATCCATCCATACATTGTTAACAGTATGTGTTGGACAGCTATGTCAGTTTTAATTTGCTAAGCGTTTGCACAGCTGATTATGTGTGCTACTACAGCAGGCACACGCAGGGGCTTGTTTGGGAAAATTTATTTAGCATTGTACAGAAGTGAAAATAAAATTATGCCAAGATTAGCAAAAGACCGTAGCCAACGCTGGTTGTAAAGGTATGAGATAGCACTCTGAGGAGCGAGAGATAGATATATGCGAGCTTTTCGGCTTACTTGCTCTAAGTCTTTACTAGAGTACAAGTCGTTCGGCGGCGTTCGCATGCATGATTCAAACGCCGCCGGGCATCACTTACACTGCAGATAACAGTCGCATTACCAGTCGGCTCAGTGACTATTGGCAGCTACGGCGACAATGAAGAAGCATGCTAATAAACACCGCTGCCACACGGTGCACTCCTGATCGTGATTAGGCGCGATCGGGAAAAAGTTTGTCAACTATGATAGTTTTCCTTCGGTAGCTTGCGTAAACGAGCATATCACGACCAAGAAATTTCATCCAGATCCGGCTCAATTACGATCGAAAGTGACCATGTGACACTGGTATAAGCCTCACCATATCGGCGTTTCCGTCTGATGGCTCACATGCGTGCGCTTCATCTCCACTCGTTTCCGCGTCCGAACTTTCGCTGCTTGTATCCGTGTTCGGCGAGTCGACATCAGTTGGGTCGGGTGACTTGATACACGCACTTTCCACGGACTTGCCAGAACAGTCGGAGTCATCGTTCACAGGAGGATGGCTGCGGTCACAGAGCATTTCTTCGCTTGCAACTACACTGACTAAATCAGGCGATTGAGCACTTCCATTTTGTAGTGAGGGTAGCGGCGAAGCGTCCAATGAACCTGTCTTCTTCGAACGGTGCTTGGAACGCACAGGAACGTCGTGCGTTGGGTCCGAAATATATAGGTTGTATTTTCGCTTCCGGTCCATGGAAGACCAGAAAGCCTTAAGGACCGAAGAGTTATCAATACGATCGTCTCCTCGCAACGTTGTCAGAGAACATCTATCGTTGTCACGCTATTCTCCTGCACTGCACTCGTTCTGAACAAAGAGTTGTGGATTGGCTAGACTTGGCGCAGTGTGAGTCTGTAACCTCCATTATAAAAAACGAGTGCGGTATTATATATTTTTATATAAGTACTATTTACCATACTAAATTAAAACTAACCAAATAACACGTTTATGATTATTTTTATTACAAATACGTTTGCAAAATGTACGTGCGACACAACGATTCGAAACTGCCTCTCAAACCTTTCCGATACTGTTGCTGTGACGTAGGAGTTGTTGTTGTTTGGAGCACGTGTGGCGCACGTTGGAACGAGTGCTTGGTCTCTGCGTGTACAGCTTGTGCGTTGCTACGAGTTCGGTCGTTCGGTGTGAGACTGAGGAAGAGATAGCACAACATGAGCCATATTTTAGTTAAGTGGGTGTCGTCCTCACTGTGGGATGTGTACAACGTCCGAGCGATTGTGGACACCAGCGTAAGTCTGCAGTTGCTGATGGACGCAAATGCCATTGTAAATTTACGCGGCACCGTGGTAGCGGTAAATTGGAAGGAGGGCGAGCCGGCGGCGGACGCCGAGTTGCTGGACTTCGGTAAGTAATGCCACTATTCATGAGTTCTCGCTGTAGAGTATTTTCTGTTGCCTAAAGACTGCTTAATGTAGGGTTAGAAAAGACAATGGAGCGCCGGCGAACAAGGCTGGTGCGGTTGGCGAGCACGGCTTCGGACAGTGCCGAGGAGGTGCCTCGAGAGGAGAATGCGCCGAACGAGGTGAGTTCTGTGTTAACTTTAATTGCCGTGCGGGCCAAGCACGACCAGCGCATCGAGTTGAGTTGAGTTGAGTTGAGTTGAGTTGAGTTGAGTTGAGTTGAGTTGAGTTGAGTTGAGTTGAGTTGAGTTGAGTTGAGTTGAGTTGAGTTGAGTTGAGTGTGTGCGCGTGTGTGTGCGCGTGTGCGCGCGTGCGCGTGTGCGCGCGTGCGCGCGTGCGCGTGTGCGTGCGCGCGTGCGTGCGTGCGTGCGTGTGTGTGTGTGTGTGTGTGTGCGTGTGTGTGTGCGTGTGTGTGTGCGTGTGTGTGTGCGTGTGTGTGTGTGTGTGTGTGTGTGTGTGTGTGTGTGTGTGTGTGTGTGTGTGTGTGTGTGTGTGTGTGTGTGTGTGTGTGTGTGTGTGTGTGTGTGTGTGTGTGTGTGTGTGTGTGTGTGTGTCCGACGAATACAGTCGTGTCCGCAGACAGGCATACACAGCGCTAGTTGAAATGGCTCACACAACTACCTGCGGCTTCTTGTTTGCCTTTTGGTAGAGTTTAGTGCCGGAGTGCCGAATGCACTGCACTCGCATCTCACCGCTTTCAAGGAAACATTTGCTGATACCATGACACTCGTTGTGCCAAACAGTACAGAAAAATGCAGTTGCTAGAAAGACTCCACTATGTTTGAGGGAATGTAAATGTGTTGGTGCACGTCACTAAAAACATTGCGCATTTCTTTCCAAAGTAAATTGCCCCAGTTGATTCAATTGTTAAGGTGTTTATTGGACAGCAGTATTTAGTTTACAACTGTACTTTAGTGACTTACCAGGGCGAGGGGCTCGTTAAGTCCCCAAGGGCCTTGAAAAAATCTTTTTCCAATTATGGTGAGCGTACTAAATTGGCCTAAATGTTTGTTGTATGAATCAATATTTTCTGCTCTAGTTTCTGTATCACATTTTTATTAAAATATCCTTGTTTCAAATACTTACAAACAGTTCATTGTAAATCGAGACTGAAAAGGCTACATATAAAATAACTGTGTGACCTGCCAATGTTACATAATATAGTTAATGTACAGTCACGATCATAAGTTTGGAGACCACGCGATCATGTGGCAGTGTGCATGCGTACGCCATCTAACGGCTCATTGCCTGCTGTCGAGAGTCTCACAGTGCACATGCGCAGCCTTTCTATCTCGCTTTTCTGCTTGCTTGCTTGCTGCACGCTGGCACGTGGGCTGAATCTGGGCATTTGTGGATTTTGCCACCGGTAGTCTTGCATGATGAAGCAGCGGCGCAGCATCCTCAAACTTCTTGGTCCGATCTCTGAGCTGGTTCCGAACTACATAAAATTGAAACGTTGCAGATTGCTATCGCTGGCATAACTTCACTATGGAAAAAGTGCTAGCCACTCACTTGATGTATTTTCATGTATTTTCATGTTCATGTATTTTAACTGTGCCATGACGTCTTTCTATTAGCGCACAAACACTATCTTTGAACTTACACAGCGAAAGGTATGCAGTGGATTTTGTGTATTGCCGGTTAAGCTTCCGCAAGCATGCCACCACGAGTGCTGGTCAAGGAAAGAGCAAATAGTAGATTTATTTGTCCATGGCCTACTGCAACGCCACATCTGGAATCTGTTAAAGAGACCTCGGAGAGCAACAAGCACATCTCTGAGAGCATGTACAGCCACATATATAAAGCACTCCCTTTAACATGAACGATGAAATGTTGCCTGCTTGGCAGGCATCTCGAATCCCGTTGCTAGGAGACATTTCAATTTATTGGGAAAGGGTCGATTTGGACCATGGCTGCTGTGCCATCAGCATTACTGGTGGCAGTAATCGCTAATTCCAATAATCAGCCTCCGCGATAGATTGCAGCAAGCAGGCCAGCTGGAAAGAATGGCCGTCTGTGTGCACTGTCATACTCTCGACAGCAGGTGACGAGCCGTTAGACGGTGCGCACTTGCAAACTGCCACACGTTCGCGTGGCCTCTATACTTGTGATCACAACTGTGAGTTTTGTATGAGTTGTAAGGTATTGTAGCTTTGAAAGCTGATAATTCTGCGAAATGAGAGTTCATTTTGCTTTGTTAAACGCTCTTCAAACATTTGTATTCACTTCTGTGTTTCCCAGCAGTCATATCCGTTCGTCCCTATAGCCCTGCTGTTCTGGCTGTCGTGCATGCTGAATGTCTGTATATGCAACATTTTTACTGTTGTTAGTCGCAGGTTTCCACTGTGGTTGTAATTGTGCATGCAAGGCTTTCACAATTGCACATGTAGGTTTCAGATCAAGTAGAGGAGCAGCTTATTGTGTGCTAGTCAATTTTCCATGTGGATGCTGTGGCAGCAGAGGAAGCCATGTACTCAAAAAAAGTTCCCTACTCAGGCTGGTGCTCAGTGTGCCTGCAGTGCCTCACAGCAGGTCAAAGAGCTAGAAAATGAGGTCCGGGAGCTGCGCAAGCGGCTAGAAGTTGCTGAAAACATGCTTGGTAAGCAGCCTCCAGCCCTTTTTTCTTCTTTTGTTGATCAAGCTTGAATGGCTATTGGATGGTGCAACTAATTTGTAAACTAGCTTGGCCATCTGTATTTAGGCAGTGCACAGTGTTGCCAAAACTCAGTTTTTTATAAACTTTTCCTTCATGGAACTGCCTGAGGAAATGCAAGAGGTGCCTAACCTTGCATCTAGCAAGGTGGTAAGCTGAACCAGTTCGTACATTGTAAAATGTGTAAACGCCTGCGGAAAACATGAACATTGAGAAGACAGCAATAGGACAAACTCGCATTTACAATTAGAAATGTTGAACACATCAAACACCAATGCATACCTTCTGGCACCCACCTGGTACATGTGCAAACAGCCGTTCCTAAGAAGGGGAAAACATCGCTGAATTTTTGACAGGACTTAAAGTAGACTAGACGACCAAAGTGCTGAACTGAACTGATTTTTATTTGCCTATACGCGACAGGACACAAGGAAGGCCATCTGGGCTTCGTTGTGTCCTGTTAAAAATTTAGCCGCGTTTTCCCCTTCTTTGCAACCATGAACCAACTAGCCGAATCCTCAACCCCAACACTCTATTGATAATTGTTTGTTTGCCTATTGTGGCTCTAAGGAACGTTCACTATTTATTGGAGAGGCACGACGATGTGTCACTGACACGTCTCTTAGGTTTGTTATGTGGAACCCTTCGAAGATTTCTTATTCGTTCCTCATGTTTCCTCGCCCTTGAGTGCCTCGTTGTGAAACATATTTGTGCACCACCTTTCCCATCATAACTCTCAGCACTTACTATGGCCATGTGATGAGTGTATCCAATCGTACAGGCTGGAAAAAACACTGTACATTCAACTTTGTGCCATTAAACTTATGCATATTTTTATGGGTGAACTAGTTTCTCCCTCTAAGTTGCACTTATGCATGATTTTATGGGTGAACTAGTTTCTCCCTCTAAGTGAAACTTTGTTTTAATCGGGTACATATATAAACTGACTCAACCTTACATGTCGGATAGAGGTGACTAGGTATAGAAACACTAGACATATGAAGAACTTCTTTGGCTTTGAAAACTGAGTGGTAGTTATAATGCTACTGGCATGCTGTGTCATGCTGAAACTCATAATAAAAAGAACAAAACTAAAATTTATTTACCTTAGACATTACAAGTGGTACATCAAACTTCTGCTTTGCTATGTACAGCAACATTTTGTACGCACTGTTTTTACATTATGTTGTGAAAAGGTCGCCATTTAAGGAGCATCAAGTTGTACAGTGATTACTAGTATATTCCCTTTATAACATTTGTGGACAGTGGTATGTGCTGCTGTTTGGATAAAGGACTCCTACTCTTGCATGTGCACTCATGACATTCTAACTAATGTTCATATGAAAGGAACAAAGATGCTTTAACACGACTTGTGTTTTGTTGCTGGACTCTGCAGTTAACAAGGCATGTCACCTCTACATTCTAATCATTTTGTTACCTTAATATAA